AGATAACAGGAAATAATCTGCCCACAGAAAAGAGTGTGGATGTGAAAGTTATTTTTTCCTTCTCAAATTGTAGCAGTTGAGGGATAATTAGAGGCTTGAGGGGATACAAACATTAGTATGCCAAAGGCAAAAGCAAGGGAATTACACAAAAATAAAACAATTTTGTGCAGCAAAGCATTTTGTTTCTTTTTTTTTAAATATCATTTCAGTCATCCTATGACCACATCTTGGGATGCCTTACTTTACTTTTTTTAATATCTCTTCACTTGTTAAAAAGTACTTTGTTTGTACAATAAGCGTTTGTATGTGTGTGTATATACTCTTCAGAATATCCCAGCACTGCCTTGTGGTAAAGCCCTCTACTCCTATGAAGGCAAGGAACCAGGCGATCTTCAGTTTTCCAAGGGTGACATCATCATCCTGCGACGCAAGGTGGACGACAACTGGTACCATGGCGAGCTCAATGGTTGCCATGGTTTCTTGCCTGCTAGTTACATTCAGTTGCTGCGTCCCCTGAGCCAGACTCCACCCCAGGGCAAAGCACTGTACGACTTTGAGGTCAAAGACAAAGACCAGGATAAAGACTGTCTGGCTTTCAGCAAGGTATCACACACACATACACAAAGATGCTGTACATGAACTCGCCTGTAGACACTATTTTTATATCAGACACAAAAAAAATACGGTAACATGGAAATACGGACTCACTGCATGGACGAATCACTGGAGAGGGATGGATGCTCTCAAAATGTACAGCATAAAATCTGAAGTAGCAGCAAACAAAGTACCTTATCTACGGTGTTAAACCAGGCTGTTTTTGTAGGACGCTAATAATTTATTAGTACTGATGTTTCTCTTCAGATTGGTTCTCGGAGTGTAAACCAGAGCAGCATCAAAGAGGGTAAAAACATGCTGTATATGATGCATTACCAGAGGAACTGGAGTTTTTATACTGCTGTGTTGTTGCAGTTCTAACAGTGTATTTGTAAAACGACAGGGATTTCAGTGGCTGATATTGGTCATCAGCTCTGTAAATTACTGGGTCTTGTATGAAGTATTTTATGGGTGGAATATTCAGTAGCAGCTGCTGCCTGCAAAAGTTTCCCAGTCAGTCCATATGAGGATTTGGCTGAAGTTGTTTTAGACTGGAATGAAGATTATGGCCACTGATTGACCTGTTCTTTGGAATCGTGTTGAAATTTTCTTCCATTGTATAGCAAAAGGTTTCAAAGAATAACAGCTAGTTTTTGTTGATGTCTAAAAACCACTAAGAGTGAAAACTACTTAGTGATCTACTGTCCCATAATCATTTCTGTTACGGTTTAGCGTCGCTTCTTGTTTTTGTGCTCTGTTTTCCCCGGCTCTCCATGCCGTTCTGCCACATCACCTAATCAGCCATTATTCACACCACCTGTCTCTCATTACCTGCTGGTCTAGCCACATACATATACACCGTTTTCTGTTCATTCCCCGCTGGACCATTCTCGTCCTCGCGTCCCCGCGTCCCCGCGCTCGGAGTGTCACTCCTCAATGTTTTTTCTTCTCCCTTTGATTTTGGTACACTGTGAGTAACCTGCTTACCAGCTGCACTGTGGAGCGAATGCTCCTACACCGTTACCAGTCTGCTTGTCTCCCTGACACTGTGAGTAACCTGCTTGCTAGTTGCACCGTGGGGTGAACACTTCGATGCCATTATTAGTCTGTCTGCTACCCCGACTCTGTGATTTATCTACCATCAGCAGTCAGCTCACCTGCACATCCTGGTCCTCTGGTTACCCGGTTCCAGCCATTCACCTGCCTACTCACCTCCACGTCCTGGTTCCTCAGCCATTCACCTGCCTACTCACCTCCACATCCTGGTTCCTCTCCCCGGTCCTCCTAGTTCCTTGCCTGACCTGGTCTCCATTGCCTCCTGCACTTCTTGCCAGCCCCCGTGCCTGCTTGACCTCTTGCCACCCCGCATAAGTTGTACTTTATATAATAAACCTTGTACCATATCATCTTCTTCCCTGTTTTCCTGAGTCCACACCTGGGGTCCAAACCACACACTCATAACATTTCATTTTTCATATGTGTAGATACTATTGTAGCTTCTTCAGGATCATCTTCTTCCCTGTTTTCCTGAGTCTACACCTGGGGTCCAAACCACACACTCACAGTGAAAACTCATATAGAGCATACAGTAGTTCTTCCACATCACCTGGGAATCCCTTATCTCTGGCTGGACATCTGAAATGAAATAATAAGAAAAACATTTTTATTTGCTGTGGTCAGAGAGATCTTCTCATGGGTCTACATGGCTCCATGGTTTAACCAAGACCACGATCAAACATGGGCAAGGTCCAAATTGGATTTAGTCAAATGAGGTTGATGGTGCTCCTGTTGTATCGATGCAGATCTCAGGTCTGTGTGTCCACTTGTCTAATACTGTGAGAGATGTGAGCAAACTCGGCTTTGATCATGTAGTGCATCACTGCAGGAGAAATGTGTTTTTTCATATGAAATGGAAAGTGTGAACTGTTAAGTGCATGGAAAAGAAAATAATATTTCTGCTCTGCATGATGCTGCTGGTGGTTTCTCTCTCTATTTGGATCTGCTGAGGTTGACCGCCTTTAGGATTGGGACTAATTATCCTCAGATCTGAATATCTTCAGGTGTGTCCAGGGTAGGGTTGGTATAAACAGCAATTTGTATTCATCTTACTGTTCTGTTTCTCAGAGCTTATATCAGGCTCATCTGTGCTAGGACTGAATGTTCAACACACCTGGTCTGTCTCTGCACTCGGAGTGTGTTTGTAGAAAATGAAAGATTATTAAATTACTGCACAGTTATTATTACATTTATGTACATTTCACTGTAGGTGTAGTTAAACCTTATCACAGCAATGCAAGCAGTCATAGATTGTTAGCCACCAACATGCTACCTTCTACACCCAGATTTAAAGCAAATGATGAGACATTGTTGACATTATTTTGCTTCTTTTGGGGGCTAAGCTAATCAACAGGTTAATGACTGAAGATTACAAAACCATACGCTCACACAGAGGCGCACGAGTCCCATGGTGTTCTGCGCGTTGTCATGAAGAACCAGTGTATGTGTGATATTGTTTCCTCAGTGTGGGAAGTAATTACTCAGTATGACTTCTACACAGTCATTTACCAGCATTATCACTGCCATGCCTAATGGTCTAACCCAGACCCTCTTATGTGAGGAGAGGAGCAGCAGAGGGAAGAGCGCTTTCATAATGAAGTCTGTGGTTATGAGCGTGAATGAGGAACATTATATTTTCCTATGTGTGTCGGATACAATACTGCTGAGAATTTTATATCATATGCATAATATATATATATATATATACAGGCATAAGTAATCTAATTGGCATGATATGCCTCCCTTGGCAGTCAACTCCTTGCACAATAAGGTAAAATAATAATTTTATAATTTAAATTTTGTAAACCGTGACTGTATGAGTTCTTTGCAGAAATAGTCCCACCTGTGCAAAAGAAAGCATAGACCAAAAACACATTCACCTGAACTCAAACTGGAACGAGTGTCATTTTCATCTTTTCATATAATTTCATATTCACCAATTTTCCAACACTGATCACTGTTGCCACAAAGATGCAGAATATGGACACAAAAGATTCTGCTGCTTTTTAACACTCCTGAGCACAGCAGTGCTGCAGGGGTCTGTGTACATATGAAACGAGCAGTGGCATCGCTCATGAAAAACTGGTAATTGATTAACATTTGAAAGGAAATCAAATTGAATGAACTGAAACCATCAATCTAAAAATGTATGTATGCCTTGGAAAGGTGTTCAAACTGGCAGTAGGAGTGATTTGTAGATGTAAGAACAGTTTTTAGCTATTGGCATAATTTATTGCTTTGGTAATCCAGTAGAAGTGTGTTAAAATGAGCAACATGGTAACTACAGTTACATTTGATTTGACCATATCAGAAGATGCCTCACCAAAGCAGAAAAACAAATTCTTGGTCACCAAACATGCACTTTCAAAGCATTTGTTTATTTTTCTGTTGAGACTCAAAATTAGCTAAATTGGTATTATTTTGTTATGATCGTTTTTGTTATGTGTATCTGTGTAATATCAGTCATTTACTCTGTCTCCAGGATGAGGTGCTGACAGTAATCAGGCGAGTGGATGAAAACTGGGCAGAAGGCATGCTGGGAGACAAGATTGGTATCTTCCCTATCCTCTATGTGGAGGTAAACCCAGAGACATTACACAGTCACACACAAAAAGCACTCACAAGTTATAGAATGAGCTGTAAATACAGCATTGATGTTGCAGCAGAATTAAATTATTTTCATTTATCATATTGCTACTTTGGAGAGAGGAGAGAAAACGTGTTTCTCTGTGACAGGGTACAGTATGTCCTCTGCAGTTTGATGAAAATTAAAGTAATGTGTTCTTTTCCACAGCTTTGATCATATTTGTTGACAATGTGACAAAAACTTGGGTTATCGGGGCCATTTTACATGTTATGTGCTCCTGCTGTAATTCATAACTTTGTTTTTTAATACATGGTGAAAACAGTTTCATCAGTGATGTAGTATTAATTTTCTGCCGGTAACAGCCTCCATGGCACCTGTGCTGAGGAGGGCACACTGAGGTCATGTACCAGAGGACATGGTTACAATGGTTGGATCATCTTAGGCAGTAACACATTCCATCAAAAATTTTAGGTGCTTCATGAGAATCACCCCCAGTTGTTTTGTTGGGGATGCGACCATCAGCAGGACTAGATAGCTACTGTAGAAATGGTTGTAATGGTTGTCGACGAGAGCAGAGAACTGGACACTAATGATAGCTCTAGACAGCAATATGAGCCTAATGTATGATATCTTTTATTTATTTTATTTTTTTGTGTGATTTTACCCATGTGATGTATTGTTCTGTGTGTGTACTGCTGCTGCTCAAAAAGGGGAAGTAGGTGTGTGAAACAGGGAAAGTCAGCAGACACAGCCCTACAAAAGAGGAAGTGCGGGCAGAGATGTCTGTAAGAAGAAAAAAAATAAATAAAAAGAAAAACCGCTGAGTTTCCGTTTCAGTAAAGCAACATCTGAAGGTATAAGATGGTAAATGGTCTTATACTAGCTGCCAATAACTGCAGATTGTTATTAATTTTGGGAGGATTTGGGGTCTTTTCTTGAATTAATAACATGAAAGAGGGAAGTCAGCAGGGGACTCTATTTGCAGGTTCATAGTAGTCAACTAGTGAGTGAATATCTCCACCTATAAACCTCAGGCAGTATTTGAAGCTTTGATAGGCTTCAAATATGCCACATTAGTGCAATAAGCTGTGTTCCTGTGTCCAAGGGTTAGGGCAGATCATGGCCTTCAAACATGCTGCATTAAAGTCGTCTGGTGAACATTCATATTCACATGATGTTTCCATGTAGTGTCTTTTGTACATTTGGAACACACATCCGAATATTAAAATGTCCTCAGAAATTCACATTACATTAGAAAAGCTCTTTATAACAAAACAACTTCCCAAATATTTTACCTTCTTTCATGGTGCCACGCCTATCAAGACTGGACTGCAGTTTGCTTTAATTGTTGTGCAGCTGAAAAAAATATCATGCACATTTTGTTCTGGATGACATTTAAGAGTTTTAAGCTGTTGTTAAAAGCCACTGGTGGAAACTGGCAGGATGTGTAAATGCTGTTTTCTTGTTGTTGTTTATGATTCTCTCTTCATCACTGCAACTTTCTCAGGGCCCTGTTGAAAACAAATGATGAAACCTTTAAAACTGACAGGAGGTTCGCTCAAGCTGGGAAGTACTGCTGCGTACTTGTGTGTGTGTGCGTGTGTGTGTTTGTCAAGGCAATAAGGCTGTCATAAGGTCAGATCCGGTGTAGCTTAGAGACATTCATTAAGGTAGAGATTAGAGGCAAAGAGACTAATAGGATGACGCATTATTCATGCTGTTTTTAAACATTGCTTCTTTTCATCTGCTATTAACAGAACATTGAGTTATATATCCACATCCATACAGATGCACATAGAAACTCACTGTTCTGTTCCTGTTTTTCCTTTGTTTATCATCCTGTAATCATACTGTTCACTTAATGCTGTCTTTTCCTTCTATCTAACCCCTTTTACACCATCTGTTCAAGGTGGGATGATTACACCAATTTGCAGCCATGAAGGTCCATATAAAAGATACCATGGTGTTGACCCTCCTTTATTCCATCATGAGAGGTAATAAAATTGGCATAACCATTCCAGCTCAGCCTCTGTGTTAAAGGGGAGAGGCATGTTGCGTTTTGATTAAGTGATGTTCTTGGGTGGGCATTTATTTTTTCACATTGCTCACAAGAAACAGAATCCATGGAGATTATCATTAAAACATTGTACACTATACACAACAACTTTTAGCCTGAATCATGTTGTAAATGTGCAGGACAAGCAAAAGCACATCTGCCGTGTGTGTGTGTGTGTGCGTGTGCACTTCACTGAATATGAAGTACCTCTTGTAGCTGATGTCTCACTGCTCAAATGTGAGTGCGGATGGCTTTTGTTAGCGATTTGCAGTCTAAAAACACAGATTACTGATGAGAGGTTTGCTGATGATAGGGATGCCACCAAAAAGTCAAAATTGTAATGATCATGTGTGAAGTCATTAGCAGTAACTACACTTCAAGAGGGTACTGCTGTCTGCCCCTAAGGCAGACGTTCAGACAGAAGATCTTATGAACGCAATTCATCAGCAGTGTTTCACAATCGTTTAATGTTATGTAATTTGGCTAACAAGCTAATATTATAATAGTTAGTTTGCTGATAAATGAAGCACCATTGTGTTCAGTCTGACAAACAGCTGCAGGGAGTGAATCAGCTGCCGGTCCATCATCGCCTTTTCCTAATGTTAGTGACGGCTGCCAGACAAGCTGAGCTCACTGAGATGCTGCTAAAAGTAATTTGAAGCCGTTATTTTCAGCAGCTTGCACTGAAAAGAGATGTGCAACCATAATACCAAGTAGCCTCTTTTATACTACATTATAAGTACTATACAATATCATATAGTTTTTGTAATGGAGGGATGGATGGAAAACACGCGATGGTTTTCAAATTTAATTTAGTTTGCTTGAGTGTTTTGATTAAATATATCTTCAGTAGCATCAGTGACAGTGAGTGAAGTAATGTTGTCAAGCCTGAAAGTAAAAGCCTCACAAAGTAAAAAAAAAAAAGGCTGAAATTTGCTGAGAATAATTACTACAGATGTATGGGAGTACACTTGTTAATTTACTCATACGGGTATGACAATGGATGCATTAACAGGCTGAGTGGGTGCCACTGGGTGTTTGACCTGCTTCTACATATACAGTACTGATAGCAGTGCCAAAATAACACTTTTTCAGTCCATTATTTTACTGTGTATAAGCACATTTCTTTACAAAATTATTAAAGTGTGTTTGTTTTAACACAAGCACATCTTCTCAGATGCACAAAATGAGTTAATAATTAAAATAGCAAATTTAAGGAAATGTACCGTTGGAGGTTTGTTAGGTAGCTGTAGCTGGATGTGTAAATGTGCTGCGCTCAGGTGAGTATATGTGGGATTGATAATGTATAGGTCTGCATGAGGTGTATGCTGTGTTCACAAACACCTGAAGCAGATTGATGTTGTTTTGAATATACTGCAGGCCTGACTTTGGGTGGGTGTGCTGAGTGGGTTGGTTTGTTTTTTATACAGTAAATTTAGGAGCACTGCTGGAAGATTTAGCGTGGGTTCAGGCAGATGTGAGGTCGGAGTAAGTGAGGTGGGGTTGGGTGTGAATGTTTTGGGCAGAAGTGAGGTTGATTTATGTAAATAGGAGGTGAATTTGGGACAGACTAGTTTAGGTTAGTTTTGATTTAGGTCACACATTATAACCTGTGTCAATTATGCTGCTGTCTTTCCTTCCTTATCTTTCTGGCTCTCTGTCTCACTTTATGCACCCCACTGTCCCTGCATTAGGAGGAGGTTGGAACACACCTGGCACCAGTTGTGTGTGTGTGTGTGTGCGCGCGCATAGGCATGCATGTAGTATCTTGCTGGCTTATCCTTTTTGGCAGTGCAGATATCAGCTCTTCAGTTCAGGCCTCAGTATTACCTAGAGAGAGAGAGAGAGAGAGAGAGAGAGAGTGTACTCACCCTCCAAAAGACACTGAGTACAGTTACCTAAACACATAATAGATGACCTTGGAGATTTCATTCTGCCAAATGCACCAAGTGAAGAATTGTCTCTGTCCACAAAATCCCTCTCTCCCCCTTATCTCCTTTACTGCAGTATGACTGGCCACTATAGCAGTGGTAGTTAAAGAGAAACTGATACAGCATTCATTAGTGTGTGTGTGGGTGTGACTGCCAATTACTGTTTGTATAAGGAGACACAAACTTGAATGCATGGGTAAAAGTTAAATGATTATTTACACTGCATGTTTTAGATTTGGGTTAGGTGAAGGGTTGGGGTAAAACAGTTCATTCCGGTGGTTAAGGTTAGGGTCAGGGGCTAGGGAATGCATTTTGTCAATGAGTGCCCTCGCAAAGATAGAAGTACGCATGTGATTGTGTGTGTATTTGTATCGTTGTGTGGACAAATATTTGATTTCATTGTTGTGAGGAGGTTTTGGCCAATCTTCACAACTTCAGAGGGTTGTTTGAGGGTTAAAATATGGTTTTAGATTCAAGGATAGGTTAAGGGCTGGGATTAGGCTACATTCAGATTGATTTTCAAATGTGTGAAAAAACGCAGCCCTCTCCATTCATTTCTATCAAGGCCAGACGAGGTCATGCCATTCAATGCAGCTGACACCAGCCCTGCAGGGGAATTTAGCAAAATGACGCAGCCCCATGCAGCGAAAAAGTTGCATCTGGCTCATGCCCATGGGAAGAAGACACTTGATTTTGGGCCACAGTTACAAACACAGCACAGCGTTCTTCGTTTTCTTCTTTTTTGTGTGTTTTTTACTCTTTCTGCAGTGCAGCTGGTCAAGATGCTCTCAATGATGCAGCTGTAGAAATGCCATGCACTGCTAACATACAACAGACAGGCATTGCTGGATATCGTCAACTCACAAAGCCACTGGGAATTTACTGGTTTCATACCGCTGGAGCTACAACTCATTATCCGCTCCCGCAACAACAACAACAACAACAACAACAACGACTACCACCATCACCCTCAGGGAGCCCCCGGAGCACCAGGCACAAGCGAG